TGATGGGCTTTCGAATGGTGTATGAATTATTTGTGTTGTTATTACAAGTGTTGCTGTGACCCCCTAGGAAAAGGTTATGCCCCGCCCTGTATAGACTCAGACCTATTGGTTACTGGACAGAGTTAATCCTATGTGACTGCTGTCTCCACCAATTGTGGAGAACCTTTCTACACCAACTTTTCTACTATGTCCCAAAAGATTCTAAGGGTGTTATGTTAACTGATAGCTTGAAAGATCTTCTGGACAGAATAGTCATTGGTTTGACCTGAAAGAGCACTGAAGACCAATACTAGAGTGTAGTTCGGTTTCAAAAGGAAAATTAACAGTACTGGAAAATACTTGTTTTTATAGATCTTGTAACCAGACAGTGACAAGTTTAGAAAAGCACAGCAAGAGCATAAAGTTGTATGCTTATCAGGACCACATATGTGGGCACATATACATATACATAAAACATATTTTTACCTGGTTTCCTCCAAGCCCATGACAAGTATACATTATCAGTGGCTTGCCGCCTAAATTATTTTCTCCAACATCCAAACATGCTCTTCTTCCAACATTTTTTAGCTAAATAGAAAGTTGAAATGGAATCATATGACTAGGGTTAACTACAATACACAGATGGTTTCCTTTATCTGCGGGTGGTACATTTCAGAATAACATCATCTTGAATGAATGGAAATGGGATTTCAGAATCTATCATCATCCATTTCTTCCCATGAAAACTTTCTTCCTCTTCTTCCCATAGAAAATATTGGCATAATACACCTGTGTTTGCTTTTACTTCTCCTAGCGGCTCGGCTTAGTCACAATGCTCTATATGGTTTCTTCACAGCAAATGATTATCACTTATAGAGCAATTTGTTTAACTGATGACTAAGAGAGGCTTCTCACTTGCACTACAAGGTTCACGTCAGCTTATATATTCTGCGTGACTCTTTTATATACTCAATGGGGGCTCTTCATGGTGCTGCTAGGCACTAGTGCTGCCTATAGCCCACACATAGCTCTGCAGCATGCAGCCATTGGAGTGAGTTTGAGCCATACAGCAGTTCCACAATCTTGGTGGAGAATCTTCTTGATAATGCTGCTAGATGTTAGTATTATCTGCAGACTACTTGAGGTTCCCAGTTACATGACCAGTTTGTGCACAATTCTAGCATCCAGAGGCATAATCAAGAGGCACTTCCATGAATATCATGAAAAAGTTGTGAGAAGTGAAGAATCCATGAGCATGAACTCTGTGGGTGCATTGTTCCATTCCCAGAATGAATCACTTTGAAGGTGGCCAGCTGCTGCGAACAAACTACATGACTAAGCTTATCCAGTGACACTTGTGGTGACAAGCCAAGGAGAAGCAAATATAAACACTTCATGCAAATTTATTAAACTTAAAAAATACACACACACAAACACACATAGATATATACCGGTATGTATGTATATGTGTATACATACGTATATGTATATGTGTGTGTGTGTCTCTCTCTGTACCGTTTATATATAAAACAACAAAATATATGCATAAATAAATAAATACTCACAAAACCATGTAACATAGGATTCAAATCTGGTATATATGCTTCAGGGAAAACATTGCTGAGGTACCATGTAAAATTTTTACACTGTAATTGTTGTCTTAACTCATATCTTTTTGCGAGATTGCCAAATGATTTCTGTTGAAACAATGCTAAATAATTAGTATACAGAAAAAAATGATGTTGAATTTCATTAGAAATAATTCCCCCCTTTTTTAAAAAAGAGACTTGTAAATTAATTTGGTTAAACAAATGTAAAAATACTTTCTAAGACCAAAAAGGGAGAAAACGATATAAATGAAGCATACAATACTCCATTACCATATTTTAAGGAAGAAGTCATGGTCTTGATGGCCTGAGGTAGCCCTGCTTTCTATATATATCACACTGAATAACCCTGACCACAGCCAGTCATGTGAACTCCCTGAATTCTTACAATTGGCCATGCCAACTATGGAATCTTGCGAACTGTAGTCCACAGATCCAAGGATTATAAGGCTGGAAAACAGTGATTTCTAAAACCATGATGGGCTATAAAATAGACCCTTACGCTTACAGTTTGTTTTTCTTAAAAAATAACTATCTATTTCCTACCTTTATTATTTTTATAAATTGTTCAGGTTGGTGAACATACCTAACATTCCTTCCTCCTCCTATTTTCCTGACAACAACAACCCTGTGAGGTGCGTTGGGCCTAAAGACTGTCGCAAAGTCATCCAGTCAGCTTTCATGCCTAAGATAGAACTATAATTCACTGTCTCCTGATTTCTAGCTTTAACCATAGAACAAATGAGATTAAAAATCACAGAGTTTAGCTGATATTAACAAGTTTGCAATAATAATTCAACCATACTAGACAGGTCTCATCAGAGGAGCTAAATGAAGCGTGTTTCTTCCATAAACAATATGATGAGATGTGACTTGCCAAAATCTATACCTGGGTTAACTAGGAGTCCACTATGGATTGGAGATCTCAGACATCTGGTGACAAATGGGCTATAGGACTCAAAACTTTGACAAAGCAACCAGGGCCAACAAGACTATTGGAAGAAAAAATTTCACAAACATACAAAGATTGAAAATAAAAAAGGGCCAGTGTTAAACTTTTTGGAAGAGCTGGCCAAGTTTAAAATTGGGGAAGACATCCGGCAGATACAGGGAAGAAAAGGAAGAGGGAAAAGGACAAAGACACCCCCCCCCCTTTAGAGAAGAAGGTTATGTTTCTGTACACATCTGGGCAAGAAACGGTGGAAAACAACACAGAAACACACACATACACCATCTCTTTCCTCGTTGCAAATGAGAAAGGGCGAGAGATAAACTTTTCAGAACGGAGCAATGTGACATCATTCATTTTAAAGTTGACACTTCAAAGCCTCGAGTGTCCCCAAGGGGCCTTTAATTAAAATCCCTGGATTGCGCTGCTTGTGCAATGAAGTGCATAGCGCTCAAGGGGTATTGGTGGGGAGGGTAAGCTGGATCAAGGAGGAAGGGAGAGAGGAAGCAAGAAAAAGGGAGAGAGACAAAGAGGAGAGGAGAAAGAGATTCTCCCTCACCTCTGGCATTTAGCAAGTTATCCTGAGCAATTAATTGTCCTACATGATGAATCCGCTGGGACGAGTTGTCCCACGATGAATTGCCCATGGGGGCAGCTGGGGAGAACTGACTGGGGAGAACTGACTGGCTGTGGTGGGTCTACTGGGGTGGGTGTGGGCGGAGTAAGGCAGCTATTCCAATTGTCCCATTCTGTCCTCAGATATCCTGGATCTATGCCATAAAGGGCTTTCAAACTAATGAGCAACACTGTGAGTTGGACTCGGAAGCAAACTGGAAACCAATGCAGCTCATGTAGCAGCAGAGTCACGAAATTTCTATCATTATTTTCAAATATTTTAAACATGTTTTATAGCAAGTATAGTTAAAATATTTTTCAATTGTGCTTTGTGAAACATTCCCTCATAGAAACTTCCTAAGTTATATCTTGCTACTTCTTTGTAATTTGGAAGTGCTATATTACGTTCTCCATGAGCAAACGTGGTTGGTTGAATTAGAGGGGGGAAAGGAAACACAGGGCTTTCCATTTGAAAAATAACAGCTCATTCACAACTGGTACACAGAATTTCTTGGTACACATTTCTTCATAAATTTATACTCTAAGATAAAATTTATCTAATGCACATTATTTAAAAGTTCTAGGAATTACAAAATACCAGTTTTGCTGGTATCTTTTGTTTATGGTATTGCTATTACCGAAGTAGCTGTTACTGTAACTTACCTAATCCATTTCTTTACAATAATTTATTTCATTATTTTGGAGAAATGTTGGATTTATAATGAATACTAAGAATAGCTATCCAACTTTTACAACTATCTTTTATTTGAAAAAAAACTGTTGCCCAATCACACCTTGATTTAAACCACAAATTTGTCTTATTTAGACAATCCTTACTTCTAATCTGGGACAGAAGAGAAATATAGAGGAATGGTAGGGAAATAGAATCTGAGAAAACTATAGGATCTAAAAAATAACTATACAACTGAAAGTAGCTGAGTCATGGAACATTGAAAAAAGAAAAGAATACAGCAAAATAGACTACTCTTTTCCTTACTCTCATGTAGCAACAAAATATCCCAATTATGGACTGACATTCAACCGTGACTTTTTCAACCAAATTTCTACTATCTAGACGTTTTATTTATTTTAATTTTATCACTGCTGATCTCTAAATGTTGTTTGTTACAACAAAAGTACATAATGCTCTTTTATGGTAGTATTCCAAGATGTTTATTTGCAAATTTTGGTGGACGAAAGTCAAAATATCTAGGTGAGCAATGAATATATAAATTAAAAATAGTGGCACCAAGATGCAGCCCTGCCTACTACTTCTGAAAATAGAAATTTCCTTAGCAATGGGTATTTCAAAAGATCCTTAAACATGAACTTTTATATAGTGTCAAGATCAGGAAAAATAGCCAGTGATCCATTGTCACTGAAAACAATTTGTAGCTTAAGATCAGATCAGATTTAAAATCAACTGCTGTTGCATATAGAGATAAATTTGATTTATTTTTCTGCCAGATGGTTGGATATAAAGGCTGGGTGTAAAACAGAAAGCCAGGACGAAAGCCAAATTGCTGCTTTGCCAGAATATTTTCAGACTCCATCCAAACCACTAATCAACCATACAGATGTCTGGCATACAATTTTTGGACTATACTCAGCAGGCTGATAGGTCTGCAGTTTGGAAGTAACTTTTCCACAACTTTATAAAATGTAGGGATTAATACTGCCACTTCCCAATCTTAGAGGACACATGCAGTGTGGTTAATAAAAGAGAAAAAAGAAGTTAAAATTGAGGCCCACCATTCCGTTCCTCTTGGTTGCTTTTGTTGCTATGTGACAGTACTTGGTGGTTTTACCACGCTTTATCAGCAAATCTATTTCCATACACATTACTGGTGGCCATTGGTGTGTATATGTCCATATCCATAAACGGCTTATTTGCCCTTTTTTCATAGTGTCTAATAGCATTCCTCTCATTTTGTTGCAAGATAAGGCAGTCAATTTGAAAGAATTTTTGAAGTGAGATACAGCAATATTAAAAAAAAGTGCTGAATTTTCAGATTTTCAGTTGCAGTAATTAGCCCTGGCTAAGCCATCTTGTAGCTTCCCTCATTTCACCTTTGAGCAAGTCTTTGATGTATAAAGTTTAGTGGAGAAAGGATAATGGGTGACCTCAGTACACACTTATTACAGGAAGTTTCCAGGTTAAGAACCTCTGGCTTATGAACAATTCGTAATTATGAACAGGCTGCTGACCAGCATTATGAGATCTGATGCTTCTGCCTTGCAAATCGAAGAGCTGCCGAACACAGTGCCTCCATGAGAATCATGAAGTAGTGAATGCATTTTTAATATACTATATGCAGCATGTTTTTAGTGGCTCCTGAAAGCACAGTGCAGCCTCAGGGAAACTTTGGCCTGAGGAAGAACAGCATCTGCTATATAGGTTGAGGTCTACCAGTACACACTATTTATTTGTCTATCAACTTCCCATATGGGTTATTTTTTAATGCTTTTTGCCATTTTCACATCACTGCTTCCCACTGCAACCTTTCTTTGCCTTCTCTCCCTGCCTTCTCTGACATCAGTTTCTGCTATGACACTTGTTTGCAGCAGAAAACTGGACAGCAGGGATTTTGAGGAGCTTAGTTTTAAAATGTAAAGTAAATGTAAAGTATCTATCCCTCTTACAGCTAAGTAGCATTGATTTAGGCAATGTTTGGGGGCCATATTGCTTGCAACACCATGTTCTCTCACAGCAGAGAGTAACTCTAGGATGTAAGTGGTCTTCACTCTGGGTTTCATTCCGGGTTCTCAGAAAATAGAAATATATAGTTCTTCCTGGCTGATAGGAGCTTGGAATACATAAAAATTTTAAGTTTAAATAATTCAGTTTATGATGTTTACATTTCTTCTAAAAATTTCCCAAGTTGCTTAAGACACAGCTTTCATTAAAAAAAAAAATACTCAAACAACAATTTAAAAAATTCTAAATAAGTTGATACATAATCCTTGGCTTACAACCACCATTGGGACCAGAATTAGCACTGCTAAGCAAAGCGGTTGTTAAATGAGTCACCCCTTATTTTACCACCTTTTCTGTCACAGTTGATAAGCCAATTACTGCAGTTGTTAAGTGAATCATGCTGTCTTTAAGTAGATCTGGCTTCTCCCATTGATTTTTGATGGTCTGAAGTCAGCTGGGAAGGTCGCTAATGATGATCACTTCACATGATCTTGATTCTATCCCTCTGTTTATGCAGCCTAGAACTGTGTTGGCTTTTTTGGCAGCTGCTGCACACTGCTGGCTCATATTTAAATGGTTGTCCACTAAGACTCCAAGATTCCTCTCACAGTTACTACTATTGAGCAAAGTACCACCTATACTGTGGCTGTGCATTTCGTTTTTCTTGCCTAAATGTAGAACCTTACTCTTTTCACCACTGAATTTCACTGAATATTGTACTTATCCAATGTACCTAAGCACACAGACGCAGGCACTGAGCTAGAAATCAGGAGACTATGAGTTCTAGTAACACCTTAGGCATGAAAGCCAGCTGAGTGAATTTGGGTCAGTCACTCATTCTTGACCCATAACATCAGGTTTGGGTGATAAATTAGTCAATTCTTGTCACAACCAATGGATCAACACTCAGTTGATCCAAGAAAAGCAGACCCCGCACTTGTGGGAAGAATGCTATGGGGAAAAAAGCACAATTCTAGAACTAGCTTTCTAATATTCATTCAATTGATTAGCTCTAATTTATTTAAAGCATATTCAAATTTTCTCAACTCTTTTGTTTTTTTTTTGCTAAGCAAAGCAAATCATACACATACATAGTGCCTAAATAAATAATAATTTTTGCTCACCAAGAATTTCAATGAAGCAACTGATTTCTAATACCACCACCATCGCCACCTACTTGTTTAACAATTTTTGTTGCTTCTGTGTTTCTCCGATAAAATATATATTTATATTCATCCATCCATACTTCTGCAAGGCGAACTTGATTGCGGGTAATCACTTGAGTCCCTTTTGGAAAGGTATGAGGGCTCTTGCTGCGAAACACATGACCCACAACTGAGCAAGGTATAATTTCCAACTGCCCCCCACACTGCCACACCTGAAAAATACAGAGCTGTACTCAGTAAAACCTTTAGTAGCTACTATCAGGTCAGAAAGCTACAGGAACACCTACATACTAAGAGGATTCAAAGTGTGGCATTGTAACAAAGGTAATAATAAAACAAAGTATTTTTTTTTAATATGAACTAAGCATGAATTAATAATGTACTGACCAAGCCACGTATATCACTTCTAGAATCTACAGATCATTTTATTTTTCTAGGCCATCATTATCACACGGTTAGGTTAATTTATCTGCTCTAACTGTAGAGTGGAGGTAAAAGATTTAAGAAGTTTTAGCTTAATGTAGATAGTCGCGTTGCCAGTAAAAGACATGTGAATACTCTATTAACTTACTCGGAAAGACATTTCTAGATTTTCTCCTCCCCATATTTCCATTTCTTCATCATAGCTTCCAATTTTATAAAAATAGTCCTTTGATATTGAAAAAAGACCTCCTGCAAAAGTTGGTGTTCTGCCAGAGAACAGGAGAGAAAATAAGAGAGAGAAAGCTTTATGAAGCCAGGAACTTCTCCATCAAACTGAAATATATTATTGGGGTTTTTTTATATAAGACCTTAACCTTATCTTTCTTCAAATAAATATGATCAACTGAACTACCACTACAAAGCAAATACATTCAATGTTACACAAGTGTAAAATCCCTCATACAACCTTACTAATTCTGTTCTTTTGCAGTCATATCCCAGCTTCTTGAAGAAAATTTGGAGCTGTGAAAGATCAGTGGGATTTATTCTATTCTAAAAGAATAGTATGTCAGTGAAATGACATCACTAAATATAATTCTATATCCAAGTCAGAAAAAGCAACATACCAATAGCAGTGGAACATACATTTATGAAAATGACTGACTGCTGTCTGAACCTGTATTGTAATCTATTTCAAAATCAGAAACAGACAAGAGTTTTCCTGAGGTTAAAATTGAGAACTTTTGATATCTGAGGATAAATAATCTTATTTGATTTGACATTCTTCCAGCCTAACATAGTAATATTGCTACCGTAATATTAAATCAGTAAAAAGTCAACATGTTCCATAACTTTTCAAAAGTCAGTCATTGCAAAGAAATAAAATAAAATGTAAATTTCAAGTGAATTATATCTAGGATCCAATCTGGGTCAGTCACAGGGACCAGAGGTTTAGACTTCCAAGCTTTCAGACTTATTATCCTCATAGAACTTCTCTCTCTCTCTTTCTCTCTCCCTCCCTCCCTATTGTGAAATGGATTACTGTATAGACAGACAGCAGTCAGTCAGCAGTCTTGAGAGAGAATTTCCCTGAGGATGGTTTCCAGCATGAGTCCAAAAATTTGGAAAATTAAACCTCTGGTCCCTGTGACTGACCCAGATTGGATCCGGCAATATTTTCCTGGACATGTATATTTGCCTTTATTTGTGAATTATATCTAGCCTATATTTTGTAATATTCTAAACATTCTAAAATCAACTCTTCCCAATGCACAATCCATTAACAGTTAATGAAACTATTGATCCTTGGCGTCAGCCTTTCTTGAGATAGGCCAACCTTTCAAGCAGTGTCAGGAAAGAGCTTTCCAGAGATTCCAGCATTCTACTTTATTGTTGTAGGATGTATTAACCAAAAGCCTTGTCCAAAACCTTCACTACCCCCCTTAAAGACAAAAAGGTCATGGTGAGGCTGTTCTGAGTTCCTTCCTTATACTCTTCTTACTTTCTCAGAGCTGAATAAACATTACATCTGTCCCATCTCCTTCACAAACCTTGAGGAAAATTTCTCCACATCCAGGCATACCAGCATGGAATTCTTCCAAAGACTGCATTGTAGTCATTCAGTTATGTACAATCTTTAATTTATTTATTAAATTCATTTGCCGCCCATTTCTCATTTCGAAGCAACTCAATTTTTACACTGAATGGATATAACTTATTTTTTTTTATTAATTTTTGCACACATTAACTGGACCAGGCTCTCCTTTGGGGCAAATAAATATATTTAAGAGCTGAAAACTGGATAGGCAGATACAGAATATAAAAACATAAAACTTTTTGTTCTTTTGTATTTTATTCACAAAATAAGCATAACAAAACTATCAATAAAAGTGTTTCATTACTTACTTAATAGGATAGGTTTCATCTTTCCTTTTTTTGTTTTCATGTTCTGGCAGAGATTCCCAGCCAAAGGATAAATTCCAGTCAAAATTTCCTCTGTTGTGGTTTTGACCATAAGGAGAAGGTTTATTAAATTCAAAAGTATTGAGGTCAATTGAGGAAATATCAGGGCTTACAACACAAGTATAATTTTCAGCTATTCTGGCTAGTAAAGGTTCTAGCCATCCATAAAAGCACTCACCTAAAAGACAGAAACAAGCAAATAGTTTTTCCACCTGCACAAGAACATTTCAAATACACTTCAACTATAAATACAATTTTAGTTCCTGAAAATTATTTTTAAGAACTGTTTTGCAGGATACTCTTTAAAAATGAATTTCATAAATACTTCAAAAGTTTATAAACAATTATCAATAAATAGCACTAAATATGTATTGTCAAGAGAAAATATAATTAATTTTAAATCATTTTCCTAGCCTAAAAGTTATTCAAAAAAGTTGTGTGTCTGAAGCCATAAAGAGTAATAATGTAAAAAAAATCTTTAAATTTTAATTAATCATGTGAATAAGCCAAATATTATTTTATTTTATATTAAATTTATTCTTCAGTTTTTAAACTTAATTCAATACTGTTATTTTGGTAAAAATATTAACAAAGGCAAAAAGAAGGGCAAGAACAAAGATTCACGCAGATGTAGATAGATTCTAGATTCTTCTACACTGCTTTAATTTAGTTTATGTAAGAAAATGGAGAATTAAATCTGTGAATAAACGTGGATGCTTTTCTGAAATCAGCAAAGTCTAATTTCTCATTCAGCTGCAGTTCTTTCAGTAGCATATGCATCCATCAACTGCAGAAATGTTTTCAGGATTTAAAAAGTTGTCCCAGGGAAATTTCACAAAATAATTCTAAAGAAGCAGCTGCACTTTCTATTCATCTTTCTTCCCTTATACATTTTACAAGTAGCTAAGTCTAAGTCCTGAGAAATTGAAACACAACACCTCTGCCTACTACTGTACATAAAGGTAAGAAAGCAAAGTAGTAATATTCAATTACTAATTCTGTTTCCTCACACTCAACTCTCTTGCAAAAGTCTAAGTACTCAAAATAAAATTTCTAATATGAATTAGGTGTTTTTCTTATTTCTCCTGTTTACTGGAAGGAATTTTGAATTAGCCAAGAGGAACATTAAATTAAAAGTACCTTTTCAAACATAATGTTTAAAATTTAGTGATCATACCTAGGAAAGAAGAAATAATAAAGAAAAATAGGATTTTATTCCTTTTTTGGGCTAATTAGGAATTGGTATTTGGTCTAACCAAGATATCCTATTCTATCCCATTTTTTTTTAAATCAACTTAAATCTCAGTGTACTCTGTCTACTTCTAATTGTGCTTTCATTTGTTCTTTAACAGATTCTGAAAATATTCACTAGTTTTTTGTTAAATTCTGGCAATATTTACTTGTTTTTGATGCTATAATTTTGTTGTATTTAAGTACAATGACAATAAAGATTATACTATACTATAAAATTATATTGGTTTAACCTTTATTTTGAAAAGACTAAGCTCTGTGCGTGCTTGGAAGCAAACTGTTCTTGAATTTTAAATGTGCAAGGAATTGGGAGCCGGATGTTATTCAAGGAAAGAGAAGTATTCCATACAAGTTCAGTGATGTTTTTCTTTCCATATTTCGAGATCCTGAGACTGGCAGTACTCCTGGTCAGAGTTCATAAAAGTTTTAGAAGACCTGATAGAGCAATCACTTCTAACAAGTGAGCAATCAGCAGCATTTGACATATTTAGGTGTTATTGGAGAGGCATGAATGGTTTTGAAAAAGGGCAGAGAACACTTGTGTTTTCTAATCATGGAGATCCACAGTACCTTTTACCGGGCACTGGTTTTAGTTTTATTGTAATGGATAAAGATAGGGTGAAGGAAAAAATGTACATGTGACTATATATTTTTTTATCAAATCACTATTTATGTCTAACAATTCTCTGTCAAGAATTCACTTACTTATTTGGAATTACTTAATTATTAATAATTACTCCTTCTGAGATCTGCCTTCAACTCTCTATTAGAAATATACCTTTTAAGTTCTGAATTGCTAAATAAGAAACTATGATGGCAGCATCTCAATATTCTCAAGTTTCAGAAATAGCAAGTTAAATGATGAGTGGGGGTATGGAATTCTAAAGCTTGTCTACTTTCTCAATTCCTCTGTACACTATAGAAATCCCAACCATTTTATGCATATTTTATGCAACCATTTGCATGCCAGATTTTGTGATGTAACCCCATGTATTTAAATACTGACTTGACAATCTATCTTTCATTTTTAAGAAACAAAAAACTATTTCCCACCCCAACAAGATGAAAAATGTCATCTGCAATGCTCCTATTAAATTAAAAAAAAAATAATTCAGAAGAAAAGCACACACATACTATATGCCTTTATTTTATTTTGGCATATTTTTCACATTATTATTCCTTTAAAGACGCGGAGTACGTCTTGTAAAACACCTTGACCTCAGAATATTCATTCCAATCTGGAAAAGAGCTCACCTTAAGCAACTTGATCCTGAAATGAGCTATAGTAGCTTCCCTAAGTCAGTGCATCCTAATTTTAGATTAGACAGAGATTCAATGACAAAATAGGACAATATTACTTAGTGCTCCTCTAGTGTTCAATGAGCTATCTAGACATACTTACAGTGTGCATCCAAAAAAGTCAGGGTTTCTCCAGTAGCTACTGAAGCACCTAACAGTCGAGCAGTGATAAGCCCCTTTCTTTCCTTTTGTCGGACAACTTTAACTATTTGGAATTGTTTCACATAGTCATCCAGTTTATCCTGCAAGTAGTCTGAAAAGAGAACAAGTCATTTTCTATACCTTGAACAAAAACAATGTACACGTTTACTTGTTAGAATCGATTCATCAGTGAAGAAAATAAAAAATGATGTAATTGTTCAATGACAATGGTTACAGTTCTAAAAGCTTCCTTACCATCTGATCAGTAAAAAATGAACAAATGACCAAATAAGTACCACCTTAATTCAGCAAAACTGTAATTGCTAACACCTACTAGTAAAGTTAAGCTTTAGCAAAATTTTGTGCTTTTGGAAAAAGTGATCCAAATGTTTAGTTGGACTCAAATGAACATTTTGTATCATTTAAAGCAATTTGGCTTTATAATCAAGCACTTTATAACTGAATATTGTTATAGGAAAGTTACATTTTAAAAGAAAAATGAAATATTAGCTCATCCTGACTTAAAGACAATGGCCAATGCTTTAAAGTGAATAAATTGTTCATGGAGAATATTGCTTAAGAAATATGTTCTCAATATGAATTAACTATGTATCACATTTATCACTCAAGGAAGGCAATAATATTCCACCAAGTCCTACATATACACAATCCAAAATGATAATCTTACACAATGGACTACAGACATACACTTTCAGAATATTATCCAACTGCATTAATGGTGGCGGCAGCGTCATGCAATAGGAACAATCAGCAAGAAGATGAGCTGTTCTAATCAGAACGATAGATTTAGAAGACAAAATAAAAAGTTGGAAATGGGAAGAAGGCGGGGCTTAGCAGTGAGAAGATGGAGTTTCAGGCTACTCCTGAAATTCCTCTATACCAAAGGATTTTT